GAGGGTTCTCTGATATCCATATATCATGTATGTTATACTTTTGTGAACGTTACTTGAACTTCAGTTCAAGAAAGTTAAATGTTACCTTTCCCTTCTTTTTTGATAGTGAAAGGTAATTTTTTGCTTCTGTTTTCTTCTTCTTTGTGAAGCAAGAGAATGGAAGTGGTAGAGCAGTTTTCCTAGTGAACTGCCATCTTGATTGCAAGTTTATGTGGAGTCTTGGGCCAGCGATAACAAGTTTGCTTCTGTGATGCATTTTGCAATACTGTTGTTTGATAATTTTCTCTTAACTATATTGCTGTCTTTGCTGTTAGGCTGCTTCAATTCCTGTTGTCTTGGTGGAGAATAGTGGCAGATGTAACAAGAATGAAAGTGACGAAAAGGTTTGGGTTATTCTTCAATTTGTTTCTATTAATATGTCATCCTTCGGCAAAAAAAAATTTGTGTACTAACTGCTTAAACTGGTCTGTATTGTTTACAGATTCTTCCAAGTGGAACTGCATGGATACCCAATTTAGTCCAAACTATTACAGATGCTGTTTTAAGTGGAAGCAAGGGTATTTTGGTTGACCAGAAACTGATTGAAGGTCCAAATCCAAACAACAGGGGCAAAGTGCTAATTCCTTTTATACTAGCGTTCCAGGTGAACTCTCATTCTAAAGTACACTTTGTGCATTAATAAAATATTGTTGGATTTATTGTATGGCTCACTAAGCCCCTTCTGTTGTGCCTTTGGCAGTATTTCTTTGTAGTGAAAAGGATTCAGAAATCTATCAAGAATGATATTGCAAGGGAGAGCAGGCCTGCATGGGCATAAGCAATCACTGGAATGGCCCTTGTTTGTCAACTTAATTCCCCTTTTGGTTCTTTGAAGGATTTTGGATTTCCTTGCCATCAGCTTATCAGTTTATACTTTTCTTGGTTAAGTAGTTATATTTATTAGTAGCCAGAGAAACCAGTCATATGCGGCGGTAGGATTTCAACTTTGTTCTGCTGAACTTGGCGTAGCGCCTCGGATTTATTGTGTTTCGATGCTTGATTAGTAACTGAGTTATGTAATTGTTGTTATTTGCACTTGTATTTTTCCATATGATGAAATAATTATATTAAGCATTGAGAACTCTTTCATAAATATATGAGGCCAACTACGTACATAAAGGGGCATTACAAAAGCTAAGAAACACAAAAATACAGTTTTAAATAGAGGAAAAAGGAAAATCTAAATCCATGAAATAGAAACGAGCAATTTCATATTGTGTATTCGTGTTCTTTGTTTTCCAAACTTCACTTTTTATTCTTTATTTTTTAGTCTTTGGTGGGATAAATTCATGATCCGTCGAAGATTATTAACTTGAATATTTTGTAGGGTCTAAAAAATGACAATTCAACACGTATTGGGCGTTTGCCTATAAAAACAAAAAAACATTAGTACTATTTATTTGAGATATTTAAAGTTGAGTTGGAGTTATGTTTGATCATACATTTTGCAATAAATATTTAAAATTTGAATGTACTTTTTTTTAAAAAAGAAATGATTTAAATATAAAACATAATTGAAATGGAGTTATTTAAATAAATAGAAGTGTTAGGGTAAATTAGAAAAAAAAAACATGAAAATCTGAAAACAGGTTTTTGGGTATTTTTATAAATTCCAATTCCAAATACAACTTTCAGTTGTTTATGATCAAATACTGATTTTCAAATAAAGCAGAAAAAAAATCAAAAAGTTCTCATGAACAAATGGGTTGATACTACCCCGATTCCAAATAAAATAAAATAATAATGTCCTTTTCAAAAAATAATAATAAGGTCAATTATTGAACAAGAAAAACACATTAACTAATGTACAATAATTAAATAAATATTCAATAACTTTTCAGTACACTATTTTCGGTATACTCAATACACTCAATTTATTGAACAAATTCAGCAATCATTCAAAAATAGAGGAAAAAAATGAAAATATACAAAACCTATTAGAATATAAACTAATAGTAATAGTAATATTTATTCACTAGACCAATTTAAGACCTAGTTTAATATAAACACATAATAGAATTTAGTGTTTGACTAAAAAATTCATCCAATTTTTTTTCAATATATATTAAAAAATAATAATTTCAAAGATCTTGAGAATAAGGTTACAACAACAAACATAAAAATTTAGCTGCAAAGAATAACAGAAAGGTTTATATCAATCAGAGTCTCCGTATAAACAAATCAATGGAGCTTTCTTATTATTATATATTTTTTTCTCTGTCGTAAGTAAACAAAACAAAGAAACTATCATTTGATTAAGCCAAAATCAAATTCAACTCAATTCAATAATGAACTCTAAAAATATGATTAAACTAATCAACGCTAATTAAAAATTAGTACTCATGTAAATAACTATCTTTACATGATTTATTTAATAATTACTACCATTAGTAAAAAAAAAATGTTAATCTTTCATGGCCACAGACCATCACCAATCAAGTGATCTATCTTTCCTTCACGATGTGCGAAAAAATTTGCTACATCTAAGTGTGTTACGTTAGCATGCTTTTTAGATTTAAAATTTTCTTTAGGATTTTTCTCTTTCTTCTTTAGTAATGCTTGAAAAAGCTCATCCAAGTGTTTAGGAGTACGACAATCACGTGCATGGTGACTTTTTGCACCACATCAAAAATAGCCCGCTTTGACTGCTTCACGCTTCTCATCCTTTCTTTTTTCCTTTTGATGAATGATTAACACTAGGAAAAGAATTTCGTTCTTGATCAAAATCACGATCATGTCCACAATCAGGACCGCGAACTTTTCCACGCCTATCATGGTGGACGTACACCTCATTCACTTCAGGAAATGATGTAGATTCAGTAGATTGGTTCTCATAACTTTTCATTGACAAGTCATTATCTTGTTCAGCCACGAGAAGATGAGAAATCAGTTCTTGAAACTTATCTTTTGATATTATTGTTATAGGAGCACATTCTAAGCATGAAAAGTGGAGAACATCTTTTCTATCATATCAATATCACTAATCATTTCTCCATATAGTATCAATTGAGAAGTAATTCCGAACATAACAGAATTGTACTCATGAATAGACTTAAAGTCTTGTAGCCTAAGATGCATCCAATCATATCGTACGTTTGGATGTATGACCATCTTCAAGTGGTCATATCTTTCTTTCAGGCTTTTCCACAAAACAAGTGGATCCTTAATTGTGAGATATTCAATTTTCAAATTTTCATAAAGATAATGATGCAAGAATATCATAGTTTTAGTCCCGTCTTACTTTGATGTTTTATTTTCATCTTTAATGGGGTCTCCAAGACCCATAGCATCCAAATGAATTTCAACATCCAATATTCATGAAAGGTAGTTCTTGATCTAACTATTTTTATAGTAATGGATGGATCTACTACTACCTCGTAAAAAATAAATAAAAAAATACTACCTCGTCCATTGAGTATAACAGAGCAAATGATGGTATAGCAATGAACATAGGGATGAAACTAGAAAATTGGTTCGAAGAATCTCGATAGTAGTTCCATGAACAATCCTTTGTGGGATTGAATTTTTTTTATAATGGAAATGCCATAAAGCGCGACCCAAGATCCATGATACGAAAACCAAAATCAGAATAACGAAGAAAAAGACATTGTGATGTAAGCGAAGGACAACGAACTCAAGTTTCATAAGATTAGCCATCAAACTTAACCTTCACTCTTCAAGACGGTAGAGTCTCGTGTTGATTTCAAATATTTAAAATAGGGTAGATAATCATTAATCACAAATCATTTCAAAAAATATGGTAAACGTTATTCACCAACTGATATTGATGCGTTCATTATTGACGGAGTAGTAGAAAAATTCATGGTTTGATTAACTCCTTTCTCAATATTTCATTTCTTTTTACGATTGTCTTTCAAACAATTTCTTTGTTTTAATTGTTTTTCTTCCTTTCTTTACTTTTTAACTTTTCAGGAACATCAAACAAGTTTCATTGAACATGCACGTATCAAAGAGAAAAAGATTCAACAACATACCAAATAAATAAAAGAAAAATCATGAAGGGAAGGAGGAGAGAAAAGGATCAAAATCGTCCTTTATGTTTGAGTTAAGAATCAAAGTAGTCCGTGTCTTTTAATATGGAACATTAATAGTCCTCCATGTTTCAAGAATTGGTACACTTTTAGTATTCTTCCAAACATCTGTCAATTTTTTAATAGAGCTTTTCTGCACGTGTGAAAGCATATACATGATAATTTTGTTTTCATAATGACAAATCATATTTAACTGTCTTCTTCGATAACTTTGTATTCACTTGGTGGAAACCAGATTTTCCCCTTCTTCTCCGTAGTATTCATCCCTAATTTCATAACTTTGATTTTCCTATTATACAAACAAAAATCAAAATTTGAAGGAAATTTTGAGCAACTTAAGGAAATTCCTTTCAAGAATCACTATAAATATACATATTGTTTTTTTTAGTATTTATAAAAACAAGTGAGGAAAGGAGAGTATTGCTCTACAAAAGCTCATCCTACATACACTGTGATCAACTCTAGTTATATGTTCTTTCATAATTGTAATCAACCTTAGTTTAATTAACTAGACTTGTCATAGTAGGATATTTGTTTTTGAATCTTGCCGACGCTAACAAGTCTTTTCATTCTAGGTTGTCACTCTCCTTTTTCATGTACTTTTCTTCCATCACTCTTCTTCTCATATATATATATATATATATATATAAAGCTTAGTCAATTCTTGAAAGCAACTATTTGTCATTGTTGCGCCATGACAACATAGTTGCTTCCAAGAATTGACTAAGCTTTTAATGGAATTCAAAATGAAATTTTGACTATAGGGTTTGATTGAAGAAGAAAGGGAAGAGAAAATAGAAGTCTGATTTGATAAGGAGTTCGGAGGGACAAAAAAAATTAAGTTTTGGGGGGAAACTTTCTCACGTGCAAAAGAAAGGTTCTGTTAAAAAATAGGCAGATGTTCGAAAGAATACTAAAAATGTACTAATTTTTGAAACATGAAGGACTATTAGTGCTTCATGTTAAAAGAGAAGGACTACTTTGATTCTTAACTCAAACATAAAGGATAACAAGCACCGGAAAAAGAAAAACAGAAATAACAAAGCTCCTTGGAAGCAAATTTAGAGATGAAGAGAAAAAATCTCAGAATGTACAAAATTTCATCGACTTTAGCGTAAAATAATAGTTAGATCATTGGTGGTAAGCATTAGATATCTGAAAATTGAAATTAATTTTATGCAAGAGTTAATCTAATATCCTATTTAGTATGATATTCTATATGGTCGACTAACTACAAATTGCACCAATTTTATTTTTTTTTTAAAATCAAATATATTAATAATAACTGAGCATATAATTATGTGTTTAAAACTTGAGGATAAAAGAAATAAAAAATTAATAATCAAGACCAAAAAAGCGCAAAAATAAAATTATTAGAAATATTTTTAAAGTTATTAGGAATCTAAAATATCTTAAGAATCTTACATTTCAAAATCATTGTACAATTACAAATATATATACATATAAAAATAATTCTTAAAATTATTTATATTTAGCCTACAAAAATAAAAATAAAAATAAAAATTAAGCATTAAAATCAACAAAAATGGACACTTTAACTTTGTCACTTCTTCTTCTGATGATAGAATATGATTTCTTTATGAAAAAAGAAAGATAGAGTATCTCATGATTCTTCAAGATATTGATATAAGAAAAAAAGTCATGTAACAAATGTTTGTCTTCAAAAAGAATGTTTTTTTGAAGGATGTTGCACTATAATGTTTTCTACAAGAAAATTGTATTGAAAAAAATAATCATTCTAATTGAAAAATTTATAGAAAAAATAATGAGTGGTAAGAAGAATTATTTAGAGAAAAAATCAATTTATTTATTTATTTATTAAATTCATATTAAATTAGGAGGAGAATAAGGAGAAATTTATATTGTGAATTATAAATTGAAAGGATCCTAAATTAGTGCTCACATTATTTCTTTTCATTCTTTATTCTTCTAATTTTTTTTCTTTAGTTTTTTTGTTTCATTTTTCCTTACTTCCATTTAATTTTTTATTTATATTTAAAAT